TCACATTTTTAGGTTAACTTTTGACATCAGCTGCTACAGTAGCCGTTTCCTTTTACTCTTTTTAGTAGTTTTTCATATTTTGAGCTATTTGAACATAGATTTTATCATTTTAATTAGCAATATGAGTTTAATTATCATTTCTTCTTCTTTTTCTTCCATTTCAAGCATGAGTAGTTAGATTTTCACTAGGGTTGTAATCCAACCCTAGTGTGTAAATTTAATGGGTGTTTAATTTAATGCTTGTTTATGGTTGGGTGTTTATTATTTAGCCTTGTTCTCATTTTTATTTATGGAATTAATGGTTGCAAACATTAGTTCATGCCTATTTGACTTAGTCTATACTTGAGAAAGAGAGACTTAGTCTAGGAAAACTTGGCTAACAAGGAATTGAGTCAATTGAGAGATTGACAATCCCAATTAAGGGTTGAACTTAGAGATAGTAACAACCCGACTTGAACTTTTTATCAACCGTTTTGTTCAATACCCATTTGGACTTGAGAAAGCCAAATTGGGCAAAATCACTCTCTGACCGAGAGGTATTGAGTGAGTAATTGAGTGTTGATAGCTATAATACACCCTGACCAATAAAACAAGTTTTAAAGTTTATATCCCATTAGGCAAACACCTAGGTGAAGGTCATAGCCCTAGGTCTTTTTATAACATTTGAAAAACAACAAAAATAATTTTCTAGTTTTATTTCGTAAATTGCAATCATAGTTTAATTTAAACTTTAAAACAACCCAATTTTGTGGAAGTGCAAATTTAGATATACAAACTCACACGCTACAATAGATACTACTAACTCCCATACATATACCTCTCTGTGGAATTCGACCCCGACTCTTGTTGGGTATTATTATTGCATCGACCATTTTCATAACCTCGAATTGAGGTGTGAACTTGGACGAGATCAACCACTGACTCTCGGAGTTCCCTATCCACCAAAATATCCAATCCGTTCTTACCCTTCCTGTCTCCCGAGTAAATTTTTGTTTTTTGAAAAAGTGAAAAGATAAATTTTTATTTTTTTGAAAATCGTGGTCGGGACACTTACTACCGCTCAATAGGTAAAACGTGAAGAGATAAATGTGATAAAAATTGTTGATCTAGAGAAGTAAAGATACGATTAAAAAAAATGTAGAGAAAGAGCGTACAACTAGAATATTCGTTATTTTATATAAAATCGATCTATAGCCATTTCAGATCATTATAATATAATTTGGATATAACAGAGAAAACGAAAAAAAATAGAAGGAAAAAGATGAACAAAAAGAAAAAGAGTTGCCACGTCTTCTGCTTTTATAAATTACACATTCTCTTCCATTTGCTCAAAGTGCCATTATAGGTGACAAATAAGTATTAATAATAGTTAACAGGATAGATTTTTGTAAGATACTTCCAAAATTTGGCACCCAAACCTCATCTCCTTTAAATTCTGGATATGCGTCTTAATTCAAAGTTTCATAGTCATTTTTCTTTTTCTTTTTCAGTTTTGTTAAGAAGTAATGACTTGTAATTTGGGGAATCCCATTTATAATTACTGGATAAAGCAATATTTGGATGTGATCATGTGAATTATTATAGTGACTGTCGATAACCATAACCATTACCTCGTTAAAATGTTTCGTTGGCAGGACATCCCCGTAGCTTATCCATATTATATTATCTGAATAGAGAACTAGAAGAGGGTACAGTCTCTTTTAACTTTGTATTTGGATATAAAAAATCTAGGGAAATGGATCAAATGTGCTTGTACTATTCAGAATTGAGTAATTTTGTCCTCTTTTAATTTACGGCAAATGACCAAATATACTTCTATACTTTCAAAAATAGTCTAAGAATACTCCTCGTTATACTATTGGGTTATCTATACCCCTACAATTATACTTTGGGTTTAAATATACCCCTCATTTAAACGGAGAGACACATGTCATCGTCTTGTTGGTCAATTCTAAATATCTCCTAATTAATTAAAAAGACTCATTACCCATACCCGAAAAATAATTTTTTTTTTGTAAAAACTGAAAAAAACTGAAATTATTTTTACTAAAAACTGAAAAAAACGAAAATATTTTTTTTTCAGTTTTTACAAAAAAACTGCTTTAGAAATAACTGAAAAATATTTTCTAAAACAATATTTTTGTAAAAATTAGAAAAAAAAAGCTGAAAATCAATTTTCTAAAGCAATTAAAAACTGGAAAAACTGAAATATTTTTAACTAAAAAAATGAAAAAAAAAAGAAAAGATTTTTTTTTTCAGTTTTTACAAAAATATTGCTTTATAATATTGCTTTTTAGTTTTCTTTTTTCAGTTTTTACAAAAATATTATTTTAGAAAATATTTTTCAGCTTTTTTTAAAGCAGTTTTTTTGTAAAAACTGAAAAAAATATATTTTCATTTTTTTCAGTTTTTAGTAAAAAATATTTCAGTTTTTTCCAGTTTTTACAAAAAAAATTGCTTTAGAAAATTGATTTTCAGCTTTTTTTTTCCAGTTTTTACAAAAAAAATTGCTTTAGAAAATTGATTTTCAGCTTTTTTTTTCCAGTTTTTACAAAAATATTATTTTAGAAAATATTTTTCAGTTATTTCTAAAGCAGTTTTTTTTGTAAAAACTGGAAAAAAAATATTTTCGTTTTTTTTCAGTTTTTAGTAAAAATAATTTCAGTTTTTTTCAGTTTTTACAAAAAAAATATATTATTTTTCGGGTATAGGTAATAGGTCTTTTTAATTAATTAGGAGATATTTAGAATTGACCAACATGATAATGACACGTGTCCCTCCGTTTAAATGAGGGGCATATTTGAACCTAAAGTATGATTGCAGGGGTATAGATAACCCAATAGTATAACGAGGGATATTCTTAGACCATTTTCGAAAGTAAAGGGGTATATTTGGACTTTGCCGTTTAATTTATTGGTTTAATAATAATAATAATAATTTAGGAGACAAACTCGTTTTTGCTCTTAATCTCTAATAGAACTCCAACGTGCGGCTAATTTTAAATCATAGTCAGGAGATGATGGGTAAATTTGTACATTTTTCCTTGAAGAATTTGGACACATAAAGTCCATCCATTTCATGCTGAAGCTTAGTTAATGTCAAATACAAAATGATTTGTTAACAAGGAGGGCGTGAATTGACAGAAAATATAACAGAAGCAATTTCAAATGATACAGAGGCAAATTTAATCCTTTTTCGAACAATCTAAGATGAAAGTAATAGGTGCCAAATTTCGTGGGAGACGAGATTTTCCTAACCAAGTTGGAGAGTACTTACTGAAAGTCTATTCCTTTCAATATGGTTAGGATGCTTGTTATTAAATTAATAAATCTCGAGTGTCGCTTCAACAAAATTGACACTTGGGGAAATGAAAAGAATGTTTTATAAAGAGGATCCAAAATTTGTTTGTGTGTTAACAATATTAGGGTGAAAAGTTAGTCAAATAATTCGTTGTGGCTGATTTAAATCAACTTATTTCTTAGTAGTTTGTCCAAGTTTAATCGGGTTGAGCTATGATCCTTCTGTTGATTTGACCCAACAAGTTGGATTTGAGATGACCCATCAAACTCTCACTTTGCATAGTATTCACGTGGTAACACTTAAAAAACAAAAAAATATATTCTTGATCCGACCTAACACCCCATGTCTTTCGTGGGCGGAACATAAGAATTGTAAAATTAAAAAAAAAAAAAAAGTGAAAAAATTTTTCAAGTGAAAATGATATTTGAAAATTAGAGTTGTGTTTGGACATAAATATTATTTTGAGTTGTTTTTGAAATTTTGTGAGTGATTTGAGTGAATTTTGAAAAAGTTTTTTAAATTTTAAAAAAATTCCAAAATTCATCTTTAACTGAAATTTTAAAATTTCATGGACAAACACTAATTTCGAAAAAAAAGTGAAAAGTTTTCGAAAAAAAATAAATTTTTTTTTATGTCCATACGGGCAAGAACATATTAGTTGATGATTTGGGGTTCCGATGGAAGATACTGCTGAGGTTATACACCAGGTAGTGCGTCAGAAAATAATATTTTTATTTTTTAAGTGATGCAATATGGATAATATGTACGGTGAATTGATGAAATAGCAACCTACTTAGTATTTTTGGAACCAAATTTAACATTTTTCTACATACTAAATTTTTGTGATATATAAACAGAAAAATTAATTTATGACCTTGATACAATAAGCTCAAATTAGGTAACCAGTATATGAAATTAACCCAAACAAAGTAATTCTTTTTAAATATCTTTGGGCGATAGAAAAAAAAAGGTCAATCATACTAATCCAAGTCAAGATATTGTTTTTGTAATCTGCTTTATGGTTACCATGCAAAATGATACGAAGAACAATAACTAACACAGGGCTAATAAATCATCTCTAGTCAAATTCGTATTTGTTGTCACAAAATAAGGATATACACGGCGAATTATTTAAACTGTTTCATGGAAAGATTTTGCATTAGTTGTATCTAGTTTTTTTTCTTTCTATTAAAGGTTTTTTTTTTTTTTTTTTTTTTTTTTTCTGTATATAACGAGCCAATACAGCACTCATAACAAGTCTTTTATGCAATCAGTCGTTAAAACTTGTAAACTTCTATGCAAGAATAGTATGTTCCTTTCTTTAACATTCATATATTCTTTTTTCGGGTAGACGACAAACCTGACCTATTAAGAAATCATACGTGTGTTTTTCACGATTGTAAAAAGAAGTCAACTAATGAAATGATAATCACTATTATAGTCAAGGAAATCATGTCTGAGGATTACAATTTGAACTAATTTGCATTTTCACTATGCTCTAGAAGCAATCACAGAAAAACGCCTGCTACCTCAAATAGAAAAAAAGATCGAAGGCTTAAAGTTGGTCAATAAAATTACAAACCCGAACATACATAAACCGGTTACCCACACAGATAAAAACCTATAAAACCAAAAACCAAGTATCAAATTAGTCCCAATGTTTACTTCTAATATTTTTATTAAAGAGTCAGCGACTGTGATTGAACAACAGAAAAGTTTATACCGTTCATTTCACCAATAAAAGTCTGTCAATTTACAAATTTTACTATTACTACGACATCAAAATATAATCACGACCAAAGAATTAAAAACCAAGATACAGAAACCATATAGAAGGGAAAAAAAGGCAATAAGAAGACCAAAACGAAGAACAGAAAAATAAATCACAGTGGCAGAGAAACCATTAAAAAAACAGAGATAATTTAGATCTCCTAAATTAGCAAAAGCTTAAGCATACGACTTCAATAACATCAATAGCTAAGGGTAGCATCATATGTTAACCGAGTCGAGCAACAACACATAAACGAAAGATACCAACTGAAAGAGACCCGTCCGCTCTAACAGTTCTGGATTCAAAGCCCAAGAACATTAGCATAGCCCTATGGGCATGCAATATTTCTGTAAATTGAAATGCATAAATCAGCAAACCAGAACAGAGGAAGATGAAATACTATGGAAGACGGAAAAAGACGACGAACAAACAGCAAGAAAATGGCCAATACGTGTCTACTCAGTTGCAGGGTTAAAGCCACTTTGCATTAAGGATAGTGAAAAGTCTGAAATATCCTCAGATAAACTTTTAAAGAAAGCGAAATTGTACCTCTGAGTAACCAAGAAAGACTGCTCCGGAAGGACTGGTCAACAGAAAAAGAGAGCACCAACTGAAACAGACAAAAAAAAGATATCAAACAATATACTATTTTCCGTGAAACTATTTCCTTTTTAGTCAGTATAAAAAAAAAATGACCTCTTTCCCTATTTGGATATAATTTATCTTTATACAATGATTTATAGCCACATAAAATATATGTGCCTCATTTTACATCACAAGTTTAAAAGTCTTCTCTCTTTTCTTAAACTCCGTGCTCAGTCAAATGGGTTCACATAAATTGAAACGGATGGAGTATTAAAAGAACCATATCTAAACAGTAAAACTAATTTTATTAAATAACAGCACTAAGTAGGTGTTGTGATATTACAAACAAAAGTAACCACATTCTTTTCTAATTTTGAAGCTTGCTAATAAAATCTAGCATATTAATAGAATCCTTAGTATAATCGTTCTTGCACCAGAAAGACAACAATGCTATACACTTGTATATAATCATACTGACTAACTCTACTTTGCTTTTACAACGCCTAACATTTTTCTCTCCACATATGGTCCACCAAATTCAAGCCGGGATCATTGTCCATACCTTCTTTTGTTGTTTGCTCAGATCAGGTTAATACCATCTTTCTATGAACTCTTTCTTGATTTTGGCATTGACTATTTCACACTAAATATTTCAGGAATATGTTCCATAATTCTGCAGCCACTTCACATTGAAGGAATATGTTGTTATTTTCTTCACTTCCCTTTTCACTAAGTAACACCTCTTACACATATTGTATATTTTCCTTTGCAAATGACAAACCTCCTAGGATGCAAACTTTAGAAAATGTTAGACCTTGTAGGGATTACTTGTTTTTAAAATCTTTTTCTATGGCCACTTCCTCAGTTGTGTATTTCTTAGCGTCAGGGCCTTGTAACAGGATTTAACAGTGAAGTTTTCTTCACCATGATGTTTTAAGAATAAATTATCCTGCCTCTTCTCCCACATGATATCTCCATAACCACTTCATGAGTAAACTCTTTCTAAACCTCCCATCTTCTTGTCCAATATGACATTGTCTCACTTTATTAGATGTATTACCTCTTCTCTTTGTTTCTTTGCCATAAAAAATCGCTTCTCATTTCGTCCAACTTATTTGCAACCTTTATAGGCATTGGGAAGAGTGACATCACATAAGTAGGCATTGCATCCAAAATACCATGTATTAATCAACACCACTCTGCCCCTCAAAGATAAATACTATTTTTCACATCTATCAATCACCCTTTGCCATATTTCACTAGCCTTGTGTCTTGCTCCTAAAGAGAAGACCAAATAAATGGTTGGAAGACTACATATTTCACAATAAAATTCCTACAAGTTCTGTATATTGTCTATTTCATTCACAGGGAATACGAATCTCGTTGTCCAGTCTCAACTCAGATACTACTTCAAACTTGACCAGTATCATCCTTAGGTATCTCAACCGACTAACACTTGCATCACATATTACTAATGTGTCATTAGTGACATGGTATGTGCGAAATGCTTAATAAGTTCCGACTCCTAGTTCCCACATTGTCAGTATGCTTCTACCGGTTTGTTCCATGTTACCTTTAAGAAAAAAAAGAACTCTAAAGAATGAAAGAAGGATCAAAGAATCCAAAATGCGCTTTGTCGAACAGATATATTGATTTTGTAATAAAATGTATTAACTGTACAGAAGAAACTTATACAGAAGATAAACAAAAAAGATAGTAACAAATGCTCTGAAAATTACAGATTCATGAGAAGCAATGGATAAGAATGTTACCTATCTTGATACTTCAGGCAACCGAAGCACATTAGAGGTGTTACCTATCATCCAATAACTGAAAGAATAAAAATATGCATTAGATAGACATGCAATGTTCAAGAAAGAGGATCTGTTTCTTTGATGAAGACGGTCTAAATTCCAGTGCTATATCTTATATAATTTGAGTCATCGACGTGAACTATTGGGAAAGAAAGAAGGCCAAGATATATTGGTATGGCACTTAAAGGCTAGCAAAACAGAAATACAAAGAAAACATGTTCAACTCTGTAAGGTTCCTCCATAATCTCATTCATTTTTAAGAAGGTTCCTTTTGCTCTTTTCAATGATAACAAATTGTGGAATAGAGTTCGAAGTCAACCTTAGCAAAAAAATGAGTGAGGAGCCGAAATTGAGTAAATAGTGACGCAAAGTGTCTGTACTTCTGCATATAACTCCATTTCAGGCATTTGAACAAATAATAACATGTATGCGAAGAGCCCACAAAGACAACATGAAGAAAGACCAAAAAGAACAGATTTGGATTCAACAATTATCAAAAAAAATATTACATATTAAATTGAAAGGACCCAAAAATGTACAAACGCACAACGAATCAAAATATTGGAATTGCATGCCGCTATCAATGTTACTTTATGGCACGGTACTGAGGTGCTGGGCTTCTTGAGTACATAAATTTAAAGAAAAATTGAATGCCGGTAACGGAGAAGAAACAGAAGACCAAACACAGAACAAACAAAGGATAAAACAAGCAGAAAAATCCAGATCAACAAACAATGGAAACCAAGAACAAGCAAAAGCAAATAGCAGAGAAATAACACTAACTGAACACCGCGAGACCCAGCGGAGAAGATAATTGAACAGAGAAAGCTAGAGGGGAGGACAAAGCTGAAAGGAAATTTTGGGCGACGATGAAAAGATCAAATATGTAATGCAGTCGGTGGCTATTATTATTCTGTGAAAGACACGTAAGTTTTTATAGATAAGAGGACATTGTATATTAACAGCAAAAGTAGTTTCACCCGCATCCAGAATAATAGTAAAGGTGTCTGTAATAAAATCCAAGAAGCAGCAGCAAAAAAGGCTTCAACTGCATCCGGTAACAGCATAAAAAGTAGCTCCAAAGCATCCCAAAACAGTAGCAAAACACCTTTCACCGGTGATTAAACCAAAAAATAATAGTCAGTTGAACCTTTTAGATTATTTCACTATTGCAAACTTGCTCTTTGATTATCCAAAAGTCAAAGACTGACCTTGTTTGTTGTAAAATCTTTTCGGACATATTACATATAAGCATTTGATGTTTGTACACCTAAGAGTAGTTATTTTGCTCTAAGTTCTGCTTAGTAGTTTAAATTTGCACACAAAGAAAAACAAATGTTGAAAGTAGTCATCACGGAAGCACGTTGATAATCATACTTTATACGATGTAAAAGATAGCATATAAAGCAATTATACCCAATTTATACCTCCCATTTATGATTACTCATAAATCTGCCTTGTGGACTTCATGCCCTACAGTCCAATTGGAACAAAGCAATCTATCAAGAATTTAATATGGTAAGATCAATCTATCACTAGTATACGAACATCTAAATGATACGCGTACTTAAACTATAGCCCAAGAAAGTTATAGCAAAAATATTAGGTGAAGAGCGATAAGATAGTATGGTCATTAGTTGATCTGCTCGCTAATGACCAACTTGCCCATGGTTATCTTTATCATGCTAGAAAGATCAAGCACTTATTTGCTTAATTGATATACCATTTACTGTAGAACAAATAACCAAGCAACACTGAAAGATAAAATCCTTCTTCTCACAACAGCAATACCATTGCAAAATTAGGAGGTATGAAGAGGACCAAGAAAAAGCACTAAAAGAAAAAAAAAATGCATAAAGGAAGTATGAAGAGAATTCAAGTGTTATGGAGGAAAATGTGAAAATAAACAGAGGAAGAGAACTGAAGAAGATGAAGCGAAGAACTTTTTTACGCATTGTGAAGCTATACCCAAATTTTTTGTCTTCTTAATTAGGCTTAACACCCATATCAGTGTAGCGAGAAGCCTTTAATCTCAATAAATAAAATTGTGTGTGGGCTGTAACTTATTGAAAGAGCAAAAAAGGGAGAGAGAACAATAAAATTAAAGATGAAGATGAAGGGATTATTTCTATATCAGATGCATGACCTTTCATTTGCTCACGGTTATTAATCAAAATTCAGCAAGATTAGAGGCTTGTAAATGGAGTTTCAATCAAATTTAACACACACCAGCAATTGGACTGAAAATTTAAGAAATATGAAGAGAGCCCAAAAGAAGCATCTGAAAGGAAAAAGATGAAGAAAAGAGAAGAAGATATAGGCAAAAATTAAAAGCGGAACAAACCTGTATCTAGAACTCCCAGCAACACCCTTGAGATCAAGAACATGGACTTTTGACAGAGCCTGTGAAAATTGAAGGAAGGAAAAGAAAATAGGGATTTCTCCCTTCGAAGACAGTTGGAGTGATGTGGAATATACACGTAGAGTATAATCAAACAATTAAAAGACACGTTAAAGCAATTGGTAAGTGATGCTAAAAGACTAAAATACCCTCGTCTTTCTCTTCTAATATACTAAGTGGTGTTGGCCCGTGAATACTGTAAAAGTTGATATTATTATTTTTCATTAACTTTATTTTGATATGAATGACAAAGAAAAAAAAAATAGATGCACGTAAATGACTACCAAATCAGATATAGACTACATCGCGTAACTTCATTTTGAAATGAAATGCCAAAAAGAAGAATAGATTCATGCAAACGATCAAACCATATCAGATACAATGTCATTGGATATCATTTTGAAAAACAATATCCACTCATAGATGTATGGTTACCAAATGGTACAATATTTATATCCATGGGAGCATAATAACAATGTATGTACTGGACTAATAATTTAAAATATCATATCTTCCATTATAATCAGCCACAATAGTAATAGAGGTAAATTAGGCAGAAGCTTGCTCCGAGTTTAGGCTTGACTCTTGAGGATCATTACCGTCTTGTAGGTGAAATCAAGGTCATTTCTTCTATATGTGACCTCTATTCTTTGGATGACCATAATAGCAAAAGACCAATCCAACCTTCGAGGCTGCGGCAGAACACTTATAAAATAAGGATAAAATAATAGCCAATGGTTGATATAGTTTGCAGTCTAAGTAGTAGTTTCTCACCTGGTTGACTTATATAACTATCACTTATAAAACAAAATCACATTAGAACATGTATCTCTTTGATTCTAAGCAGTAGGTAGCTAGCACAGAAACCTATAATTTCCTACATCAAAGCAAAAGCTAAGAATTTTTTTAAAAGTATAGTCAAAAGAAAAAATGACCAACGCTATATCAAAATGTAGAAAGGGCCACACAAATCATTCAGAAACAGAATCTGATTGTTATTTGATCATGAAAGCATGAATTTGCATGCACGAAATAATTGAAACTTGGTCCACATCCATATGTCAACTTGAGGCATCATTATTTCCCTAAAATTGGAGAATGAAACACAATTTGGAAGGATTTAACTCACAACAACTTCATTTCCTTTTCAAACTCTCTCAAGTTAGATAGAAAATGAAGTTATTACTTAGTTTTCGGTTTAGCCTCATTTGAAGGAGCCTAAAGTCTCTGCAAAGAACCAATGGGTATTCAAAAAAATCTTGCTAACAATCTATGTATTGTCCCTGATTTATAAACGTGACAGCATAAGGGAAGAAATAGTAATCTTAAACTACTTAGACTACTCAACACATTAACTCAAATTAAAAAAACTTAAGATATGGAAAACAATAGAGGTCCGTTCCTAAGAAGAAGTCCTTTCTTGCTGTGATGACCCAAAATGTCATCTTTAAATTTAATTATTAATTCTGTGTTCTAAGACCTCGAAAAGCACTATTTATCATTTTTCGACTTGCGTGCGCAGTCCGCAAAATTTTTCGGAAAGTTTTTATGTGAAAAATGGATTAAAATGTGAAATAGAGCCTTAAAACTCAACTGAGTTGACTTTGGTCAACATTTTGAGCAAACGGACCCGGATCGGTGTTTTGACAGTTCCAGTAGCTCCGTATCGTGATTCGGGACTTGGCGTATGCCCGAAATTTAATTTAGAGGTCCCTAGCTTAAGTTAAATTTAAATTTACCTACTCTGTTCAATTTTTATTACGCATTCAAGTGTTTTTATTGAATTTTCTTTTGAATAGAATTTTAAATATTTTAATCGACTTTTACGATCGTACTGCCTTGTTGGTACTAAAATACTTGTGTACAGTTGATTTCAGGACTACTCGCAATAACAACTGAAATAGAATTGACAAACGAACGTGTGCCAAGTAACGATTTAAGATAATCTAATCTTCAAATAAGAGTCTTATTTAAAATAGATTAATCAAAGTAGTACATTGATAAATGTTCGAAAATCATGTTGTATCAATGTACTAATCGTATGAAAGCGCAAGATAAAAAAAATGACACTAATTGTATCCGAGGTTCTTTTTTCGGATATTCTTTTAAATATTCAATAATTTTAGATTCTATTGCGCTAAAATATAATTAAACTTATTTTTCATTTAAATACATATTGCATTTATTTGGACGTTTTTCTATTATACATAGTTTATATTTATTGTATACAATTCTTTTATTAAGTGACGCAATTTCCATCTTAAAACTAGTAAATATAATAACCTGAAGAGGAACTTTCAGTGGAAACGACGGCGTATAAGAAGACATTATCTGGAAACACACAGCTGCTAAACCGGCCACAAGCTCATTCCTATCTCCTACCATTGCTGCTATGGCGTCGTTGTTAATTGGCTCGTTCCCTATGGCCTCTAAATCCATGGTTCCCATCTCTCCTAATTTATCCTTTTCCCGCTCTCACTCCATCGCCGGAACTGTCTCAGTTGCCGCAACGCCTTCATCTTTTTCTGCCAATTCCTCCAACCTCCCACTGAGTATGACCAATTATCTAAACAATCTTATTTAAAGCTAACAATTGCACAACTCTACTTTACATCCAGTGTTATTTTATTTTATTTTATTTTTTTAAATTTCTTTCTCATACTTTTGATTTTAGTTTACTGCGGGAGAGGGGACAAAAAGACTGCCAAAGGCAAGCGCTTCAATCACTCCTTTGGGAATGTAAGTTCTTCTTACTATGATTTTTAATCTAGACTAAACTCTCACTTCACAAGGTAGATGCGTACACTCTACCCGGCGGATCCAGGATTTAAATAGGATTAAACCCATTATATTTGTAAAGTTATGGGTTCATATCTACTATTTTTGCAAGTTTAAAAAATTTCTACATGTAAATTTTTTACTCCGTGTCAAAAGTTATGAGTTCAATTGAACCCGTCCGTAATACGCTAGGTCCGCCCCTGTCTATCCCAGACCCACTATGTGGGATTACACTGAGTTTGTTAGTGTTATTGTTGTACTAAGCGTCTCACTTCTTAATTTCAATTTATATTACACACTTTCCTTATTAGTACGTTCAAAAAAAGAACGACACATTTTTATGATTGGAAATAATTCAACTTTAAACTCTTTATTTTATCCTTAATGAGAAACTTTTATAACCATACAAATGTTTATAACCATACAAATGTCATGACTCCACAAAACTTTTATCCCTTAAGCTTGTAAGAAAACAAATTTCAAAAGTTTTTTTTCCCCTTAAATTCCGTGCCGAGTCAAAGTTGAGAGTACTAAATTTTTTTTATGTGTGTGCCTAATGCTTATGAAATGGTGTAGGCAAGGCCAAGGAACAAGAAGAAGGGAAGAGGACCACCTAGGGTTGTGGCGCCTCCAGCAGCTCCAAAGAGAGATCCATTTGATGATGGCCAGGTCATTAAAATTGAGATTAATGAATGATCTGAGTCCTTGTTTTCTGGTTTGAGCATGTTGCTCTGCAATTAAAATTTTCAGTTCTATGTAGCTTTGTGATATACTACATTTTGTTTATTTATGTCAGTTCGAAAATTATAAATTGAGGTTCCTAGTTTATTCTAAGTTTATGTCGCCATTTCTCTAGGCTGCTTGCATGCTTTTATCTTGTGTTAAAATATGTATGATGGAGAAACAACACAGAAGTATTAAGACGAAAAGATTATAGGCAAGTAACCATCTCAAAATTTTGAAATATGAAGGGGGTAAACCGGTAAAGTAAATAATCAACTGGATGAATTGAGGTTGAACCATTGACAGTTTGATGGCAAACAATGGCTAAAGATGAAGATGAGTAGAACCATTCAGGCAAGATGTTCTTTGTTGGCCATTGGGGATTTCAGAAAAAGGATAAAGGTGTGTGTTGCATTAGGATTTTAAGTGAGATATGGCTGCTTTGTATTAGTGCAGCTGCTATTCATCTTGAAGTTTATTTAGTTCCCGTCAGATTATCACTTAGGTTTGCATATCACCAATAAATTGATAAGGGGGTAGGTATAGCATATCTTTCTTTGTTTTGGATCCATTGACGCAATAGTAAGGTGGCAATTTTCTAAACAGAATCCTCTAGTGTATCTTACTGATATTACAATGGCAACTTATGTAATGGTCGAGCTTTCTATCCGACTGCCTTACTTGGTCGCAGAGCCATTCTTGACTAGTAACGATGCATGAAGACATTGTTTCTCCATTATATAGTGCCTGCTGTTTTTTTTAATCAGGTCAAAAAATGGATTGTCAGTCATGAAACATGGAGGTATAAGGTAAGGCCTACACTACAGGGATGAGGTAGAAGAAATTGAAGTTCACTTGTAGAAGCTAACAATTACCCCTCTTCAACATTAGTTTTCAACTGCAACTGCTCAACATTTTCATAGCTCTTTTCGGTCCCTTGAGCACTGTTAAGTATTTTATTGTAATTTGTCGAGCATTTGTAGGCTTGATAGGGAGTCAATAGAGCGTAACATCCCAGTACTTGCACAAAAAGGATGAGCATAAAAATATAAGAATCGCTTGTAAGACGCTAAGACTGAGAATTCATTTTTCACCGCAGAATTAGGCCAATGTTTTGGTTGGAGAAAATGTAGGTTTTCATATCAAATTTAAGCTAGGGAAGACATATGATAAACCATCTTTAGAAGTCAGACCTGTAGAGATAACCGATTGATGGAAATACTCAAAGTTGCAGCAGAATGTCAACAGGACACTTCTGGTAATTCTAGTGAGCAATGAGCATAAACATTGGGCGACAACCAACAGTGTTGCCACTGCAGGGGGAACTGAACAAAAAGGAACTGATCCTCAAACC